TGTAGAGTAGAATAATAATAATAATAATAATAATAATAATAATAATAATAATAATAATAATAAAAATTAATTAAAAAACCTATATGGGGAGATAACTTCTTGCTTCATTCTCAGCTGTTAATATTGGGTTACAGAATGGAAAGTCTTCAAGCAGAGCCCAGAGGATCTGCAACAAGATTCTGTCAAATATTCTTCATAAAAAGGTATTGCAAGTCAATATTTGAGTTGATATTTTCCATGCCTTTATTTGAATGTATATTTTCCAACAAGAACAAAAAAGAAGTTGCCAATAATTAAAGTAAAACTAACAGATGTGCATGGAACAAGAGCCAAAGTGTTATTTTATTTGGCTCTCAGCCCACAGCATAAAGATTTAAACTTTAGTACCTGTTAACAGTCTGAGGCAAGGGATAATGGGAGCCAAACTGAAGAATTCCTATCATCATTGCTCCCAGGATTTTTATCTCAGCTGGTTAAGGGAAGGTTGGCACATCCAGTCAAATTGCTGGTATCAGCCTATAAAGTCTTTTACAGCATGGGACCAAAGCATCTGAAGGAATGCTCATCCTGTATATAGAACCTCATCCTGTACTTCAGGTCATCCTCAGAATCCTCTTCTGGGTACCCTTTCATGCTAAGGTGGGGCAAAAAGCTACCTGGGAACAGGCCTTCTCAGTGATACCCCTCTACCACTAACAGTGGAATGCCCTCCATAGAGAGGGCATTCCACTGTTACCTACTTAGGGCATTCCTGCACCTACTTTGTTTTGTTTCAGGTATCAGGCAAATATGCTTTTAGTTTCCTTTTCAATATATTAAGATTTTAGTGTTATATGCTGTATGAAATAATTTAAATTAATTTTTGTTATGTTTGCATTGCTAAGGAATTGTATTTTACTTATTGTTATTTTGTTTTTAGAATTAAAACATTTTAATAGTGTGATCTTAATGTTTTGCAAGCAATCTGGGGAAAATCAGTTTTGAAGAGGAACATGTTAATCTTTAAAATAAAAAACAGAGAATTTTATGGTCACATCACTTTCTGTGATTTAGCCTCTCAGTGGCTTTACCTGTTAGTAAAGTTATAAAAATAATTGATCCCAGGGCTAATGGATTCCTAGGGATTTTCTGTCTGGTATGGTTAGCACTCCTGCTGAAACTCTAGGTACACCCATTCTATTTAGCTGCACACTAAATTTGCACTACGTGTTGCCCAAGTTATGGAGTCTCAGTGGGGACTAAGAGTGGTTATTAACACATTAAAATCATTCTCACGCACTGCAAGGGAAAACTGATAAGTGCTGAATAAAGCAATTTGGGGGAGGGTTGTCTTTGTTACTGATGTTCTCCTACCAGAACTGATAGTCTTTCCACAAATAAGGTTTAGCACTCCCAATATTCAATTTCAATGAGAAGAATCTCTTTGTGGCATTTGATAATCTATGTATATTATTAAGTGCTAACCAGGAACTATAGTTTATAGACTATAACTACACACAGACACACACACACACATACCATAGTTCTTTGTACTCTGGCAATTTCTGAGCCAGATACTTATATAAGTACAATGAATATGGGTAGTGCTACCAATCCTGCCTTTTTCTCCTACACATCTTTTGCTTACTGTCAAAGTTGCTTTCAGATCTTTCCTGCAATTTCAGATGCCAAGAAAAGTAATTTTTCTTTCACCCCCACTCAAATTAACTGCATGCTTGAAGAATACAAAGTCAGACAGCTATTCGCTCCTAACAGACAGAGAAGGGATAGAAGTAGGAACTTTGATTTACTTGGAAGAATTTTTATTTTAAATATAAATTGTCATAAAAAAAGCCAGAGTTCTTATATTAATGGGTGGTTTAATCATCCTAGAGTGAAAAAGTACTCTTCCCAAAAAAACAAAAAGAGAAGTTCTAAATAAATATCCAGAATAAACCCATAATTGGTAATCTATATTTTTCCAGTCATTCTTGAATACACTGAAGAGCAAGGTAGGAATTATGATTGCAGAGATTGTTCAAGATGTTTCTTTTAAGAAAGCTGAAGCAGTTGCTTCCGTGCAGTATCACATACACAACCCATTTGTTGTCAGCTGTATTCCACATGTGCAACTCTTCCACACTGCAGATAAGAACTTCATGTTAATGATATCAACTAATATATTTTGTTTCAGGTAAAAGTGGAGAATCATGGTTCTGCTCCTTAGGTACCGAACACCCGATCTCTACTGAAGTAGGAAGAAACCATCACAATAAAGAAAGAGGAAACTGGTTACTGTTCAAACTTGAGGCGACGTAAATAGAACCTTCAATCTCCTCATCCCAGGAAGACACTGTTTTATGACAAATATATGAACAGAAGCACAAGGAGAAAGAAAATTCTACAGCTAGACTGCAGCTTTGGTAATTTTTTTAGTGGTGTTATCAATACTGTTAAAATCATTGATTCAGTAGTAACTCACTGTATAAACATTCCTCCAGCAAAACAAA